TGCAGATATTACAAGGGACGATAAAAAATATAGATTTTAGAATCGAGAATGCTGTAAGCCCGTACAATGACAGACAGGTTCTAAAGGATAATTTATATACAGATTACACGGAATGGACTCAATTATCAGTAGCCCCATTCTTCTACCCGGACGGACAGAACATCCCGATGGATGGGAAACTAGTTGCTAAGTGGCAAGGTGACGGAGAAGACCTGTCCATATATACTACTACAATGGAAATTCCTCAGAACACATCAGTTAAGATTAAGACCCATAACCCTCTACAATTTGCCATTGTGATACATTGTATCACTGAGTATTATACCGGGACAGAGTGGGTACAGATAGAGGATGATAAAAGAACACTTGGAGCGGGTCAGACCTACGAGGGCACATACAAGGACTTTACAGGAGAATTAGGGTACAGGTTCGGGATAGTATTAAAGGACTCAGAACAATATCATAATACATTATATGGAATCTCTCAGTTTGTAGTATATACCGGGACATTGATATCAAACACTATTACGGAATGTAAAATAAATGAAGAATGTGATTACTTTACATATAAGTCAAATAGAATTGATTTAATGGGAATTGGGACTTGTAGCATCAATAAAAGAGAACCTTTTACTGCCTACGATGATGAGGGCAGACCTTATGGGGAATGGTTCGCCTATAGTATAGTAAACTACTATAATGGCACTTGGTCTCTCACAGGTTATGACAGGTCATATAAATTAGCTAATAGAGTTAGTAGGGGTGATTGGTTCGAGGGTCATACTTCCTTAGATGCTGTAAAAAATATATACACATATACTGAGGAGTACGAGTGGCAGACGGACACAGGAGAAGAGGAACTCAACAGCTTTCTGAATGTGGACGATACTTACTCAATTATCGGTCTGATTCCTTGGGAATTCAACCTTAGACAGGCTGTACAACAGGTCGCACTATCACTCGGAAAATACCCTATAACAGACAGGACAGGAAAGTTAATCTTTAAGTCACTGACTATCCCGGGACAGGTTGACCATAATATAACAGATGCCGAGGAGATATTCGGTCGTAAGGTCTCAGAGAATGATAAAACAGTTGATAGAGTTCTCATAAGAGACTACACCATCAAATGGGAACAGGGAGATTCTAGTTCGGACTATATCCGAAAATACAAGTATACATCCTATGCAGACTCATTCAACGAGGCTTATTTACAGGGAGACACTCTGAGGGTGTGGAACGAGGCAGACTCGGAGTTCTATTGGAAATACTACACCAAGCAGAATGACACTTGGAGAAATAACAGGTTTATTACATCTAGTAGTCCGGGAGGATTCGAGATGAGCCTAGACGGATGCCCAAGTAAGAGACCTAGTGACTCACAGCACACCTACTTCAAGCAGGACGGAGAGTGGACAGGAGGCACAGATTTAATACTGTCCGGGAACTACTTTACAGAGGGAGCGATACAGGACACTTGGACTCAGTGGTTCGCCTATCCTCATTGGCTCGATGAATCATCGCAGTTCTATACTGACAATAACACCCTTGAAGTGGATATGAGACTCACTACTCCTGTAGTCACCCGGGAACAGATGTGTTATATATTGTTCACCAATGTGAATAGTAGATATTATGTAAATACTCAACTACTGCCTAACTATGACATTCAACTTGGAGACATCGTAAGCCTTGGAGCTGGAGAGCATACAGGACGAGTAATGAGTATTACTACAGATTTGACCAAGGGAGGACTCATAGACATTGAACTTGAGTGCCATACTCCAACCAATTAGAAAAAGGCGAAAACCGGGAAAATTCGAGGCTCTGATTTCCTTTTTGAGCGATTTTTCTAGGGGTGGTCGATAGATAAGTCCACCTCTTTAAAAAGTACTCTATAATCTAAAATAAGAGTCTTTATCTATATATAGTATACCAAAACAGGATACACCCCTATATATATAGGGGTGTATTTTTATTTATCCCGGAGTATTACATAATTATTACAGAGATGTTACTAGGATATTATGTGAACATTGTGTGACAAAAAATATGGTAATATATGTAAGTAATTGGGAATAAATGGAAAAAATATGGTAATAAATGGAAGAGATATGCTAATATATGTAAGTAATTGGTAATATGTGGTAATTGTAATATGTCTTTTATGTGACAATCTGTGACAGAAATGTGGAGAAATGGGAATAAATGGAAATTGATTGGCAGTTTTTTACCATTGAAAAAAGAGGGGGTCAGAACTGACCGGGAATATAGACGAGTGAGGCTTTCAGATTGGATTTAAGAGCCTTTTTTAGTTTCCTGTCATAATTGCCCACTAGGTTAAAAAACTCTAGCCTCCGAGGGTGTGGGACACATTGACCAAAAGAGTAGACCTGTCTAGGAACTGTCTAAGACCTGTCTAGGAATTTTCACTATACTATATATTGTTTTATTATATTATATATTATTTATTATATACTATATATACTATTTAAATATATATAATAAATAATAAATAGATAGATTAGATAGATAAATAGAGAAAAAAAGTGTTTAGAATTTATAAAAACCCCTATAGAGAAAAAATAAAAAAGTTTTCCGAAATAACCTGTCTAATGTGTACAAGTGGCAAGAGGGTTGAAATTTCAACATTCTTAGAGGGTCAATCTGTCTAAGATGTGTCTAGACCTGTCTAAGATGTGTCCGGGAAAAAAGTTTTGTGAACGTTTTGTGAACTTTAAAAAAAAAGTGTTGCAATGGTAATTCACTTATGGTATTCTTATTACATCAGATAGAGAAAAACAAACACACATACGGAGGTAGTAAAAATGAGATTATCAAAGGACAAGACATACGCAGTAGAAAAGTACACAGTATCAGGCAAAGAAAACTTCGGCAGAGGTTACAACGGCAAGGACGTAAGAGCCATCATCGGAAACGCTAAATGGTCAGACGTATACGGCGCATTCGTAAGCAAAAACGCAATGTTCTTCGTAGAAGAATGCTAGAGAGAGGGGAGGGGTCGAACCCCTCCAGATAACAGGAGGTGTAAAATGAATAGAACAGTATACAGAATGTTTAGAAATCAGTTAAAAGAGTCCTACAGATGGGTCACAGGTTATGAGGTGACACTTGACGAGTATAACTTTGGTTGGAGATTTAAATGTACAGATTGGGGAGACGGAGTAGAATATAAGACAGTTTTTCTCTGTGAAGACGGGGATGTAATTTACTCAGAATGCACAGAAGAAGTATATAGAGAGGGGCTGAACAGATAATGTATAGAGTATTGGAGATTAAGACAAAAGAGTTCAAAATCGAGTTAACAGAGTTCGAGGGGTTTACAATGGCAGTGACTTACAAGTTTGACAGCGAGGGTAAAATCACACAGGCTACAAACGAAGTTATCCCAATGGACTACAACGAGACCGTGAAAGTGTTTATTAAGCTGTATCCGGTTGCAGAGTATACAGAGAACTTTAATATCGAATAGGAGGTGAAATAATGTTAGGATTTACAGTGATGATATCCTGTATCATTTTTGGTCTTACAGGAATGGGAATAGTATTCGAAAAGCTGCTTAATAACATCATCTCGGACGAGGAGGACGAATAATGGACAGGAGAGCCGAAATCAAGTATTGGTCTACTGACTATATAGAAAACAGCGAGGGAGGGGTCTACAAGCCCTCTCAGAGCGAAATAAGAAAAAAACTAATAAAGCCCGGACGATTAAAAGTAATCCTTAAAAATGGGGAAATAGGGCTTAGGAACGATAAAAATATATGGAGGTGGTTTGCTTGACAAACTTTGATTATTACAACAAATTAAATACTACACATTTTGGAGTGTCCAAGAAAAGAGGAGACCCGGTCTACTGTAATGAAATCTTGTGTAATGATTGTGAATTTGACCTTGAGGTCTGCGATGCTCAGAAAATGCAATGGCTGAGAAAAGAATACACAGAGCCGAAAAAATCACTTGGAGAACTTGTAAAAGACTTCCTTATTAATTACGATTGTGACAAATTTGTGGACACCCCTTGTAGCGAATGTGGTTTCCACGGGTATGACTCAGATTGTGTAAGATTGTTTAACAGAATAGGAAAGTTTATCGATGAGGGCATCGAGGAGGTGACAGACTAGAATGTTTATTATTGAGACTCCTAAAAGAGTATGGGATGGTTTAAAGGTAAAGGATGTAGAAGAGATTCTGCCTAAATTAAACTGTAGATATGACTTATTAAGATATAACTATGGTTTGAAAAGATACGACAAGGTCGCAGAGGGCTATGGCTCATATATGAGATTATATCAGCCACTCGAAGAGTCAATCATTCGAAAGTGTACCGGGGTAAATGTATATGTAATCCCGAAAGCCAAGACAATACACTTAAACGAGGGAAACACAGACAGTGTAGGAATTTGGAGGTGGTTTTAGATGTGGTACGGGTCTACAATCTATGAATTATTAATGAGTATGAATCCTGTAGCCCTTATGGTCTGTGGGGTTGTATTTGTAGCAGTAGTATATAAAATAGGAGACTATCTCGCAAGGAGGCTGTAATATGATTATTAGATTTACCAAGAAGAACGACCAACCTGTATTAGGTATAAGTCCGGGAGGGTTATATAAGTTTTGGGATACACAGAGTGATTGTGCAATGTCCTTTGAATCGATAGATTGCAGTTCGGAGAGGGTGAGAAAATACCTTGAGGGTGAAGTAAAACCAAGAGGAATGTATGCAGATTGGTTATTCGTAAGTGTTACGGATATTGAGATTGACGAGGACAAACTCAGAATCAATGACCTTTTATTCAGACGATGTGACCCAGCTGTCAAGGATTTAACCATCAGACGAGTGACAAGATTAAGAGAGCAAATCAGTAAAGAATTCAAGAACATTTATTATAGGAGGGTCGCTGAATGAACTTATATGCACATCAGAGAGAGGGTCTAGACCGGCTCTCTCAGTACACATCCTGTGCATTCTTTTGGGATATGGGCACAGGGAAAACCCGCACAGCTTTTGTAAAAGCCTCAGAGATTGGGACTAAAATATTAATAGTGTGCCCTCTCTCTGTTATCCCTCAGTGGGTCGAGGAACTAAAATCCAATGGTCACAGGTGTGATAATCTGAGAATTGATGCTCCTGTAAATAATTGGGGAATAATCAACTATGAGTCCATATGGAGAAAAGAGCCAGGATGGTATGAGGATTACGACACAGTTATAATAGACGAATCACAGAACATTGGGAACGACCGCTCCAAGAGAACGAAATACATACTTAAATATATCACTCCTAACAGGAATGTAATTCTTCTGAGTGGGACACCCGATTCCGGGCACTATGAGAACTTATATACTCAACTCAAGGCTTTAGGATGGGGAGGAACTAAGAGCAAGTTCTATAACTTCTATGTTAATACTGCTATAGTTGAATTTGTACCGGGAATCAAGACTAGGAAGATTACAGGCTATAAGAATGTAGATTCTCTAAAACAGTTATGTAAGAATATGGGCTGTGACTTTTTGAAATCCTCTGAGTGTCTCGAACTCCCGGAACAGATAGACATTGATATTAAGGTAAGTAAGTCCCGGGATTATAGCAGATTTAAAAAGGACTTAATAGTCACAGTTAATGAGGAGGAGATGGTCGGGAACAGTTCCATAGCCGAGGTGATAGGACTTCGGAAGATTGCCTCACTTGGTAAAAAATCGGCTTACTGTGACCTCGTGAAAAGCACAGACAAGAGACTCATAGTCTTTTATAACTTTGATGCAGAATTAAACAATTTGAGACAGTGGAACAGGCTGTCAGAAAAAACAATGTATATCTGCAATGGTAAAGTAAAAGATGTAGACCAATGGAAACAGGATGAGTCCGGGGTCTTATGTGTCCAATACCAAGCCGGGGCTACAGGTTTGAACTTACAGGAGGCAGACACTATTATATATTTGAGTCCCTGTTATTCCTCTGCACTCTATGAACAGAGTAAAAAGAGAATACACAGGATAGGACAGCGACAGAACTGTAAATATTATAAACTGATAATGTCCGGGACAATTGAGGAAGATATATACAAATCTCTCGCACTGAAAAAAGACTATTCAGACGAGTTATTCTTGAAAAACCTGTAAAATATCTTTTGTGAACGTTTTGTGAACTTTAAAAAGAGTATTGACCTCCGGGTGCTGTTATGGTATTCTTATTACATCAGATAGAGAAAAACAAACACACATACGGAGGGAATTAAAATGAAGAGTTATAAAACAATGGTAATGAGAATGGTTGAATCTAAATTAAAAGCACACTTTAACGAAGTAGCAGTTTTAGAAGAACTCAAACAGGGCGAATACTCACTCGAATGGAAAGGTTATGTAGGAATGAATCAGATTGATGGATTTATCTGTGACACAGGAGCAACATTTTATTGGGACGGCTCAGACTACATCGAATTTTAAGTCAATACCAAGACCGGGAGAGGCACTCTAAAGAGTGCCCCGGATACCTTGAAAACGTAACTGACTTGACACTTAGTTGTCACATTAGAGAGATAACCTATAAACAGGAGGCGAAATAATGTATTATAAAGTATTGTGCAGAAAAAAAGTAAATGAATCAGTTAATACCTATGACTCTTGGGTAGTGGCTCAATCAGAAAATGAAGCCATTAACAAGGTGGTGTCCCGGGAACTTGAGAGGGCTGTAGCAGACCCGGGAAAACTTAAAGAATTATACTACTATAAACAGAGATTCGGAATAACTACCAAGGCGGGGGATGAGATATCATTCTCTATTGATGGAGTTAAAAAAATGAATGGGGGACAGTAAATGACTCACAAAATATGTATACAGTGTGCTTTGCTTGGCTCTAACGAGTGCAAAAGCTGTCAAGATTTTGACCTGTATACTGACAATGCTTAATTGCTTGGGTACATCCTCCGGGAGGGTGTATCCTGTGGAGTTAAGCATACTCCCAAAGTAATTTTCATAAATCTAGCGAAAGGAGGTATCGCTCTCTATTAATGGAGAGATTTTACAATCAATAAAAGTTATAAAACGAAAGGAGGTTTACTCCTTATCATCACAAGAAAATTCATTCATTTTAACCAATCAGTTATATTTAATTAATAGTAAAATCCCGACTAGACGGGTAGAAAGGAGATACTCCTAGTTCATTTTTTTATATCAGCTATGGCTAAAATTACATAAAGTAAAAACATAAATTTTCATATCACATCATATCAATTCAAAAAAAATACAGGGTAAAATATATCCAAACATTTTCTTGATTTAAAATTCTTGTTTATGGGGATAGGGTGCAAGCTGTCCCCATATATAAAAATTTTAAGGAGGTAAAATATGAAAGTCAGATTTAAATATACTGTAGAACCTTTTATTGATGAATTCACCCGGACAGTAGAGGCAGACAGTGAAGAAGATGCTGTCACATTGTGGAAAAAATCAATATTAAGTTATCACGCAACATTAAAGAATGTTGAAATTGTAGAGGAGGAATAGAAGTGACCAATTGGGAAAAATTTAAAGATACATTGAACACCACATCATTCTCATTAGATGATACCGGCAACATTGGACAATGTGCGGGAACTCCTTGTACTAAGTGTGTGTTCTTTAGTGCTTATGATGGAGGACTCGGATGTGGGAAGAATAAGGTTAGTTGGCTCAAAGCAGAATATAACGATTTTGAAGAACTGAGACTCAATACTCTGAGGGCTTTCCAAATCACACTTAATTGGGGCTGTTTGTGTCACGAGGTAGACTCTTGCAGTAAATGTCCTATGGTAGATTTTAGAAGATTATTTAAAGTCCCGTCTGATGTAAACTGTAATTTTATTGTTAAAGAGATAATCAGCGAGGGTTTCAAGTATTTTGAAGAATGTGTTAAGAGGGTTGACGATGTTTAGGAAAGAGGCTTTCACGGACTATGTCATAAATCATAATCACGATGACTTCGTAAGAATCTTAATGAGGGGTGACACTTGGAGAGAGTACACTATAAAAGAATATGAAATTGCAATGGTTCACAGGGAGATTCTATACGAAGAATTCTGTAAGAAGTTCAATGAGGAGTATGTCCTTGAAAGTGATTTCGAAATGGGGAACGAATCTGTAGACCTTGCGGGTTATGATGGTAAATCAAATCACTTTGATTTATTCAGATTTGACATAGACGATAGACTAAAAGACCTGTCTGGGATAACTACTTTTGACAATTGGGTCACTGAGTTTCGAGAATGTGGGTTCTCGGATGTACAGTGCTATTGGGTTAGGTTTCCAAGGTGTCAACTCAAACACAAGAAGACCGAGTCTGAGGAGCAGTTCTTGGAGAGGGTCAGAGAGTGGGCACATAAAAACCCTCCAATAATCATTCCGGTAAATGGCTATTATATAGACGGGTTTACACCATTTTAGGGGTATAATATATCGACCCCTCGAAAAAAAATCGCTTAAAACGAGTCTCAGAGGCTCGAAATTTTCCAAAACTAAAACAGGAGGTATATATTTGATGTTATTACCACAAAACAAGAGAAAAGATGTATCAACCATTGAGAACTTCAACCTTTGGTTGTACGGTCAACCATTCAGTGGAAAAACCACTTTCGCCGACAAGTTCGATAATGTTCTCTTTATCAATACAGATGGGAATGTCGATTTTATTACATCCCCTTACATCCTCGTAAGAGATGAAAAGTATAAAGAGGGCAGAATGCTAAAGGTCAATTTTGGTTGGGATAAGTTCCGAGAAATCATCCTCGAACTTGAGACAGACGATACATTCGAAACTGTAGTTATAGACTTGGTGGACGATATCTACCAAATGTGTAGAGATGCTGTCTGCTCTAAGCACGGATGGAGTCACGAGTCTGACGATTCTTTCAAGGCTTGGGACATTGTGAGGAGTGAATTCATTGAAACTATGCGAAGATTAATGACATTAAAAAAGAATGTAATTCTCATAAGCCACGAGGATGCTACCAAGGATATAACCAAGTATTCCGGGGATAAAATCACAGCCATTAAACCGAATATCGCTGATAAAGTAGCCAATAAATTAGCCGGGATGGTGCATCTCGTTGGCAGAGTGACCAAGGAACACGAACTCGAATTCTACGGAGGCGAGGGGCTTTTCAATGGTGGTAGACTTACTAAGAACATCCCGGGTAAGATGAATCTTGACCCAAAAGAATTTACAGAGTTATTTAAATAAACAGGAGGAGTTAATATGAATAAATTTGATAATATGTTTGACATTAACGAGTTAGTAAATGAATGTGAAGAACTCGCAAAAAATGACACGGGCGGGGATTTTGAAAACCTCCCGGACGGAGAATACGAGGTAAAAGTCACAAGATGTGAACTCACAGAGTCTAAGACATCGGGGAAGCCTATGGTAAGTATTTGGTATAAGGTCATAGTTGGGGAGTTCAAGGACAGACTCGTTTTCAATTATAATCTCGTGGATGAACCTAAAAAAATCTTTTGGACTATGAGAACACTTGGTCAGTTATCACACACAGAACTGAAGTTCACATCTTACACAGACTTAGAGGAACTGTGCAGAGGAATTGAGGCTTTAGAATCAGAGTTAATCATTGAACTGAAAACCAAGGGAGAATGGCAGAACTGCAAGATTAAAGAAGTATTCGAGGAAAAATGCTGATAATATATGACTTTGAGGTCTTTAAATTTGATTGGCTAGCAGTATTTAAGATTGGTGAGGAGTTCTCTGTCATAATCAATGACAGGGAGACCCTCATTGATTTTTATAAGGCTCACAGCAATGATATTTATGTAGGGTACAATTGTAACCACTACGATAAGTTCATTTATGGGTGTATCCTCAATGATGTGGAAGAGCCATTCTCAGCGAGTGAGAGGATTTTAACCGGGTCAGACCCATTGGACATTAATAAAAGATATGGGGACATTGATACAATACAATTTGATGTTATGACAGTGGACAAGATGAAATCACTCAAACAGCTAGAATTGTTTATGGGTCTGAGCATAAAAGAGAGTTCCGTACCTTTTAACATTGACAGGAAACTAACCCCGGACGAATTAGACGAGGTGGTAGAATACTGTAAATATGATGTAATCAGCACAGAGAAAGTGTTCAACCTAAGAGCCTCGGATTTTAAAGCACAGGTTCAGTTAATTAAGACCTTCAATCTATCTATCCGAAAATCAATGCATAAAACCAAAGCACAGCTAACAGCCGATATATTAAAATGTATGTCCAAGACCCACAAGGATGAACACATCACAGATATATTAGATTGTGTCCGGGTCGGCAAATATACCGAGATTCTCAATTGGTTTAAAGAGGGTAAGCACTTGGAAAAATCCTACACCAAGACAGGCAAGGAAAAAAGCCCGGCTTTGGAATGTGTGATATTTGGTATCCCTCACAAGTTAGGTCTTGGAGGTATACACGGAGCGATTGACAGACCTGTAAAATTGAGTGATAATCTTTTACACATAGATGTTGCGAGTTATTACCCTAGTTTGATGATTGAACATAAGTTATTGACTCGGAACAGCACAAACCCGGGAAGATATGCTCAGATTAAATCTACACGATTAAAGCTGAAGAGCGAGGGAAAAAAGGAAGAACAAGCCCCTTACAAAATCGTTCTCAATGCGACATATGGGATATGTAAAGACAAATATTCCAAGGCATATGACCCGAGGAGGGCTACTGAGGTTTGTGTCAATGGTCAATTACTATTAGTAGATTTATTGGATAAGTTGGAGGATGCTAAGTGCTGTAGGCTGATACAATCGAACACAGATGGTATTATAGTGCAGTATACAGATTATGACAAGACCGTCGCAGTGTGCAGGGACTGGGAGACCCGCTCCAAGATGTCCCTTGAGTATGAGAAGATAGACAGGATAGTTCAAAAGGATGTCAATAATTATCTCGTTGTGTTTGATACAGGCGAGGTAGAGGTCAAGGGTGCTATGCTCAAATATAATAACAGCTTAGATAATAATTTGGCTATAAGGAATATAGCCCTAAGAGAATACCTGTTAAATGATGTCCCGGTATGGACTACACTTTTAAAGCACAATAATTTAATTGATTACCAAATGTGTGTGAAGAGGTCTAACAATTATGACAGATTGTGGATAGGCTCTGAGCCTACAGAGTTAAAGACCCTCCGGGTGTTTGCCACTATGGACGGAGTAGGAATAGGTAAGCAAAAGGGGAGCGGAACTATTGAAAAATACGCAAGCACACCCGGGAAATCCACAGTATACAACGAGGATATCACAGGAATGACCTGTAATGATTTAAACATAGACAAACGATGGTATTATAACAAGATTATGGAGGACTTAAAACTATGGCTTTAAAACACGGGGTCGAGTTCTACGACATTGACCAAATAGTTGACAAGGAACTCAGAGCGAGTAAAAAAGAGAGACA